TTGATACCTCTCAGGAAGGCTCTCCATGAGATATTTCCAAGACCACCCTTTTCGAAAGTGGTACCCTCCTGGTTGCGGAGAAATTACGCTTTGAAAATAGATCGCACCCCCGTGCGTTCTCGCGCATCCTTACGGTATTATAGCAATGTATAACTGAGCATTTTCCCGGACGACTCTCCCCGCTACTTGGGTCGGAATAATGGCGAACAACACCCAACACCCTTAACCTTAACAGGGTCTCAACTACTCTGGTGTGGTGACCATCAAGTGGGAGAAGGCGGAGGTGAAGGTGAAGAGCCTGTTCGACAGCAACAAGGACGGCAAGGTGGACAAAGAAGACGCCAAGGCCCTCTGGAAACGCCTCAAAACGGCTCTCACGCACAACCTCCCGGCAGGCGGCGGCTTCACGGGCGGGTTCGCGCTCGGCCTGTGCTGCGGCTAAGCGTCAAGGGGTTGATCTGATCGAATCTGCCGATCAGTGCTTGTTGGTTTGCGCTGGCAATACATCAACAAGCACGACAGGTTTTTGGAGGGTATTGCCCCCGCCCCCCCCGCCGCGCCCGCAGCAACGACAGAAAGGAACACCGGGGGTCACCTCTTGATCCGTTGTTGCCAAACACGACGGCAGTGAACAGCAATGCGTTTTGATACGCGTTTTTGAGTTTTCGTTGAAGCGAAGCAAGTTTTGGCCTGTGAGCCCATATTGTAGAACGTGCACCTGTGTGGATGCTTCGCAGTGTCAAAGCGAGAGCAAATGTAAGTATGTTCGTCACCGCCACACGCCTGAATTGGTTGGTGCTGTATTCGATTTTGCCGGGGAAACGGGCTGCCTTCTTCTGTGTTTTCCCGGGTTGCTTGCGAGACCAACTCATATTTGTTTTGATTAGAATCTAGTTGGCCCACACCGCACGTGTGTGTTCACTTTGCTTCCCGCGCGCTTTTCCCGTTTTTTCGCGACAATGGCTTAAGGCTACGGGGTTTTCTCCGTGACACGCATCACAGCAGAATGATGGTCGTAGTGAGTGGCTTTGGGCGTTCCCGCTGCGTAAACTACAGCGACGGGAGTGAGCGAGTGTCTTGTGTTTTCGTTGGAAGGGGTATGGCCTTGCCTGGCTTCCTTTTTGTGTAGAGATCCCCCCCCCCTTCTGTTGGAGGTTTCATTTCCGTGGCGCCGAACCCAGGCTTGTATCTAAAGAGAAAAACAGCATCCGCGTAAAGTACCACAGCAGTAGTCGCCTTTCTTCGGGATCGGCATTTACATGTGTTGTAGCGCACGCTCGTTTTGCATGACCCGCATCATGCGGGGCCAACTTGGTGGCGGGTACTGGTAGGAACGTGCCCGGTATTTTGAACAATGGGATTTTCCTCTTTTAGGGGGCCTTGGGCGGCATCCGTTCCAAGCACTACCAAGTGTGGTGGGACAAACATGAACGAACGCCCAGCACGGCGATTGTGTAAAGTCTGTGGAGACACCTGTTCGGTCTACGAAAAGACTGCCGCTCACGTGAGGCATTCGTCGGCGGTCACCAAAAAATCTCAACGCTGATTCGATGAGGTGGACCTGTCAACTCTTGCGTAGTCCGTCGAGCACAAAAATCCGCGAGGGGTTGTGTACAGCAGCGGTATGGAGTGCTGCGTACAGAGACGAATACGCCGCAGCATCTCCGCGAAAATGCGCATATTGGAAAGTATTTTGGCCTCGCCAAGAGTCTCTCGGCAGTCTTTTCCCCCATCCATCTGAACCTTGATTGTGGGTTATCGCGATAAAATTCGTTCGCTTGCCTTGAAAAAGATGGAGGAGATATACTAGGGGACAGAGGCTACAAGTCAAGGCAAAACAGCAACAACGAAGCAATGACGAGAATGTCAAGTGTATACAAAGGTGAGAGACCTTGGGTCCCCAAACAACAAAGCAGCACGGCCAACAGCCGTCATATGAATCCAGGAATCAACTACGGCACTCTGTGTTTCACAATTTCTACGCGGCGTTACATACACCACGAGGAAAATGAAGCACACAATTTCCCCCGTAGCTTTTACCAAAAACAACCCAAAATCGCCCAACATCAATAGAAGTTACAGAGATGGTACACAAATCATGGGAGCACACACGGAAAAACATTTTGTCCGGAAGAAGACAATCGCGGGACCCCGTCCCTCCCTTCACTTCGTCGCCACAAAAAAACACAAAATAAGGCCCTGTTGACCCCGGCCGCCGCCGGTCTCGTCACGTCTCGTCCTCGTCGTCTCGTCGATTCGCCGCCGCCTGCACCATCTGCACCGTCTGCTTGAACGTCACCC